CCCTCTTTCCTACATACTCTAACTTGAGCCTCACTATCCTCGTAAAAAACTCTTCGCTGCTTTCAGTAACCTACCTCCATACACCATACACTTGCAACATCTGCCACATTGCCCCCCTATCCACCCTGTCATACGCCTTTTCCAAATCCATAAATGCCACAAAGACCTCTTTAGCCTTATCTAAATACTGTTCACTTATATGTTTCACTGTAAACACCTGGTCCACACACCCCTACCTTTCCTAAAGCCTCCTTGTTCATCTGCTATCCTATTTTCCGTTCTTACTCTTAATTCTTTCAATTATAAACTCTACCATACACTTTACCAGGTATACTCAACAGACTTATCCCCTATAATTTTTGCTCTCTCTTTTATCCCCTTTGCCTTTATACAAAGGAACTATGCATGCTCTCTGCCAATCCCTAGGTACCTTACCCTCTTCCATACATTTATTAAATAATTGCACCAACCACTCCAAAAACTATATCCCCACCTGCTTTTAACATTTCTATCTTTATCCCATCAATCCCAGCTGCCTTACCCCCTTTCATTTTACCTACTGCCTCACGAACTTCCCCCACACTCACAACTGGCTCTTCCTCACTCCTACAAGATGTTATTCCTCCTTGCCCTATACACAAAATCACAGCTTCCCTATCTTCATCAACATTTAACAATTCCTCAAAATATTCCCTCCATCTTCCCAATACCTCTAACTCTCCATTTAATAACTCTCCTCTCCTATTTTTAACTGACAAATCCATTTGCTCTCTAGGCTTTCTTAAACTTGTTAATCTCACTCCAAAACTTTTCTTATTTTCAAAAAAATTTGTTGATAACATCTCACCCACTCTCTCATTTGCTCTCTTTTTACATTGCTTTCACCACTCTCTTAACCTCTCTCTTTTTCTCCATATACTCTTCCCTCCTTGCATCACTTCTACTTTGTAAAAACTTCTCATATGCTAACTTTTTCTCCCTTACTACTCTCTTTACATCATCATTCCACCAATCGCTCCTCTTCCCTCCTGCACCCACTTTCCTGTAACCACAAACTTCTGCTGAACACTCTAACACTACATTTTTAAACCTACCCCATACCTCTTCGACCCCATTGCCTATGCTCTCATTAGCCCATCTATCCTCCAATAGCTGTTTATATCTTACCCTAACTGCCTCTCTTTTCGTTTATAAACCTTCACCTCTCTCTTCCTGATGCTTCTATTCTCCTTGTATCCCATCTACCTTTTACTCTCAGTGTAGCTACAACTAGAAAGTGATCTGATATATCTGTGGCCCCTCTATAAACATGTACATCCTGAAGTCTACTCAACAGTCTTTTATCTACCAATACATAATCCAACAAACTACTGTCATTTCGCCCTACATCATATCTTGTATACTTATTTATCCTCTTTTTCTTAAATATGTATTACCTATAACTAAACCCCTTTCTATACAAAGTTCAATCAAAGGGCTCCCATTATCATTTACACCTGGCACCCCAAACTTACCTACCACACCCTCTCTAAAAGTTTCTCCTACTTTAGCATTCAGGTCCCCTACCACAATTACTCTCTCACTTGGTTCAAAGGCTCCTATACATTCACTTAACATCTCCCAAAATCTCTCTCTCTCCTCTGCATTCCTCTCTTCTCCAGGTGCATACACGCTTATTATGACCCACTTATCGCATCCAACCTTTACTTGAATCCACATAATTCTTGAATTTACACATTCATATTCTCTTTTCTCCTTCCATAACTGATCATTTAACATTACTGCTACCCCTTCCTTTGCTCTAACTCTCTCAGATACTCCAGATTTAATCCCATTTATTTCCCCCCACTGAAACTCTCCTACCCCCTTCAGCTTTGTTTCGCTTAGGGCCAGGACATCCAACTTCTTTTCATTCATAACATCAGCAATCATCTGTTTCTTGTCATCCGCACTACATCCACGACGTATATATACTCATAAATTCTAGCGGCTTCAAATCAAGCAGGAGAAAGCTGGTAGGCCCACATGTGAGAGAATGGGTCTGTGTGGTCAGTGTGCACCATATAAAAAAAATCCTGGAGCACGCAGTGCATAATGAGAAAAAAAACACTCCGACTGTTTGTTTTAATTAAAATGCCGACTTTGTGGTCTATTTTTGTATAGTATTCATGGTTGTATTCTCGTTTTCTTGGTCTCATTTGATAGAATGGAAAACATATTATAGAAGTAGAGGTGATTTTGATTGATTTTACTATAAAAAGAACCTAGAAATGGAGCTCAAAGTAGGGGAAATGTTTGATTTTTGCCAATGTTCAAAAGTAAACAAATGATGCCATTGTCCAATAAATGTCCAACTAGCCATTCTAATATGCAGTCATGAATGGGTTGATGTTATTTATACAATTATTACAGTATTGCAGTAGTCTGCATAATAGTAAGTCTTCTATTTTTTGTTTGAATAAAAATTCAAAATAGAAAGCAAGAGTAATATCAGAGGGGCCTGGAGACATGACTGATGAGCAAAGAAAATGTTATTTTAGAGCCAGGAATGTCTGCATTGTTCATTCTGAACCTTGTTTTGAAATAGTCATATTTTTTAGTTTTCGTGAAATTGGCCAAATTGCAAATTTCTGACCACATTATTAGGCAGTTGAAATCGGTAAATGGGCAGTTTCTTGTACTCAATCGATAGAAAAAATGAAGTTCTAAAGAAATAGCTATGAGTTTGGGCGACTGAACAATGGAATTAGCCGAAAATAGGGCTCAAAGTGGGCAAAATCGCCGATTTGTAAACAGCGCCAAGGTCGCTAACTTCACGAGAGCATAATTCCGTCAGTTTTCCATCAAATTTCGTTTTTTTTGGTGTCATTACAATCGGGAAAAGATTCTCTATCATTTCATGAGAAAAAATATTTTTTTTTTTTTTTAAATTTTGCGACACCAGGAGACACCTCAGGATTGGGGGTTGCGACAGTCAAAGGGTTAATATGAGGAAGGAGCTTGGTATTTCTAGTATCAGTGATAGGATTGTTGAGATTAACACTGTACTCGGTATTAGAATGTTGAGAAACGAACCAGACACTGTCACAATGAATCTTACTAAATGTCTCGAAATAAATACACAGATCTAAATGGATTGTGAAAATGTGCAATTCCATTAAGTTTCATAACCTGTATGAACTGTATCACTGTAGACAACAAGAGCATTTCACCCCTCCATGGAAGATGTGTTCATTTAATATCACATACCTGCAAGTCCCTCCCAAGAAGCTCATTGCTAGTAATCCCTTCCTTAAATCACTTGTTAAAGCAACTGCTCAAGAAGAAATTTCTTGCCTAGCTGGTAGTAATAAGTTATCACAAGTTATATACACTGATGGATCTAAACAGGAGTCTTCTGGCAGGGCTGCATCTGCTCTTGTTGCCACCTCCCTAGTTAAGAACGATCATAAACTTGCTGAACTAGGCATAAGAATTAACAACTGGGCGTCTACACTGCAAACTGAATTGTTTGCAATCCTAATGGCGCTAAAGCTAACTTATGACACTGAGCTTGACTATCATCATTACTGATTCTGTCATTACTGAAGGCTCTTGACTCATATAATGACTCCAACAACATGCTCATTGGAGAAGCCAGGTATAGATACTCAAAAATCAGGGACAAAGGAATTAATGTACAATTGCTATGGATCCCATCACACATTGGATTACTCCTTCATGATAAAGTTGATATGTTAGCCAAGAAGAGTACCCAGAAGGAGAATGAAGAATATAATTTTGGTCTAATATTAGGAGAGAAGTAAATAATGAAAATTATTGTTACAGGAATGCAGTTAGAAGCCTGAGTAGATCTATAACCCACTATGATAACATGAACGTAGATAAGTATGTTTATAGAGCAACTTGTAATGTGAACAGACTGACTGATGTTGTAGTGGCCAGGCTTAGGCTTGGTTACAAGTACTTCTGGCAGTTTGGGAGACACACAGATGATGATCAAATTAAATGCAAATTATGTGATTAGCCCTATGGTCACTGTCTTTAACATTGTGTGCTTAATTGTCCACTTATTGAGGAATACAGAGATAGACAGTACGTTTAATAACCTATGTGACATGTCAAGATATCTTATTAGTGAAAAAAAGATACCAGATATACTAAGCAAATTTCCTAAATTTGCTTGTAACAGATAAGTGAACAGATAAGGCCTAGTTCCTAGGCCTTTTGTGTATCTATATGCTCTTGCGCTACCATCCACAGGATGGATATGGGGTGCACAATAAATTAGTCACTTCGGTGGGAAAATCTAATCCAATTTTTATATTAATGTAATATTATTGATAAGGTAACAAAAGGACACCAATGGAAGTAAGTCACTTTGTCTGACTTTTTTGGGTTATCCTAGGTTCTCTACACACATGCTGCTATATATGATAATCTATTTAACTGTAATTGTGTATACCTAAGTAAACTTACTTAGCATCAATGAACCTCTCAAGATGACTGTGTGAAGCTATAAATGGTGGTGTCTACTGACAAAAATGTGAACATTGTAGTCACTAGACTGGCAAGGCAGCAGTCATTGCTTTTTCCCACCATAGGTCTAGTGACTACAACAATGACCACTGCCTTGCTGTCACTCTCAATGGTGTAAGTGTCAAGAATTACACATGACAGTTTGACTTTTATTTTCGAAGTGATGCAATCACCATTTTACTGCAGTGAAGAAAGCCTATATAGAGACCGAGATTTGAATGAGCAGACGCATACATATGATGTGGAAAGTAATAAACAATATAAATACTGTACCAGTAATACAAGGAAAATGAAGTGCTAGTACAATAAGAGTGAAAACAGAATTTATTAAGAGGGTAATAATGACAGAAAATAAAATGGAAGAAGTGGTATCCATTTTCCTAGCCTAGTAGTAATACTGTATACTGTAGCCATTAATGACCTAGGGCTGACCATAAGGCAATCAGCACACATATATATACCTGTAAAGAAGACTGCAGCAAAGCCACTTTTCTGAACCGAATTATCAGAATTAAATTCTATACGAAGACTGTTCCCCTCTGATGTTATAACTGATGGAAGACGTTGTCCACAAAATACCCCGTGTTTTCTCATTTCTGCTACTCCTAATTTGCTGCGGATATCAACGCTGTCGTACTCGCAATCTTGCTGAAACAGAAACAAGGGTGCTTTCAGGAAATTGGTAAAAAATAATAACAGTAACACTTCCTTTATTTTCTATTACAGTAATATCATTCTTGATGTGGTAGTTGTTGTTACTATATAATACACGTACAGCATACATACACTGACTACATGTATACATATATGCTTTCCTGTATTATACACACAATTTTTAGATGAGGATAATAACTATTTCCTACGTAGTAGGTTGGCAGACAGCAACCGCCCATGGAGGTACTACTGTCCTGCCAAGTGAGTTTAAAAGGAAAGCCTGTAATTGTTTTACATGATGGTAGGATTGCTGGTGTCTTTTTTCTATCTCATGAACATTCAAGATTTCAGGTATGTCTTGCTACTTCTACTTACACTTAGGTCACACTACACATACATGTACAAGCATATATATACACACCCCTCTGGGTTTTCTTCTATTTTCTTTTTAGTTCTTGTTCTTGTTTATTTCCTCTTATCTCCATGGGGAAGTGGAACAGAATTCTTCCTCCGTATGTCATGCGTGTTGTAAGAGGCGACTAAAATGCCGGGGGCAAGGGGCTAGTAACCCCTTCTCCTGTATAAATTACTAAATTTAAAAAGAGAAACTATCTTTTTTCTTTTTGGGCCACCCTGCCTTGGTGGGATACTGCCGGTTTGTTGAAAGAGGAAGAACACTTCCTTTATTTTCTATTACAGTAATATCATTCTTGATGTGGTAGTTATTGTTACTTTATAATACAGCATACATGTACATACATTGACTACAAGTATACATACATGCTTTCCTGTATTATACACACAATTTTTAGATGAGGATAATAACTATTTCCTAGGTAGTAGGTTGGTAGACAGCAACCGCCCAGGGAGGTACTACGGTTCTGCCAAGTGAGTGTAAAACAGAAGCCTGTACAGGGGACCCTTCATTTTCGTCAGTCTCTGTTATTGCCGATTTCGGTTTTGGCCGACTTTTTTCGTTGATATTTTAGTTCTGTTTTTGTTAATTACCTCCGTTTTCATCGATCGCATGGAACCTGTCCAGTCCTCAGCACGCCGACAAAGCCACCTCCCACATGCATTCTCAGCCTGTGTAGCACTGTTTCTCGGCAAGTGAACATATCCTGCCAGGTTCTATGAAACTTCGTAATAATCCATTGTTTTTGCCACTTGTTTATTGTGTATCTGCTAAATAAGCGACCATGGCCCCAAAGAAAGCTCTTAGTGCCAGTGCTTTGGTAAAGAAAGTGAGGAACACCATAGAACTGAAAAAAGATATCCTAAAAAAGTATGATAGTGTCATATGCATTGCTGAACTCGGCAGGATGTATGGGAAGTTGCCATCAACAATCAGCTCCACTGTGGCAAAGAGAAAAGAAATCATGGAAGCTGATGTTGTGAAAGGGGTGAATGCGATAACCAAACAAAGATCCCAAACAACTGAAGTGGAGAAATTGTTGTTGGTGTGGATCAGAGAGAAAGAGTTAGTAGGAGATAGTGTTGTGCAGTCTATAATTTGTGAAAAGGCAAGGCAGTTGCACAATGATCTCAAAGAAACTGCCTGAAACAAATGCTGATGTAGGTGAATTTAAGCCCAGCAAAGGCTGGTTTGAAAAATTCAAGAAGTGAGGTGGTATGCACAGTGTTGTAAGGCATGGTGAGGGTGCCAGTTCAGACAAACAAGTGGCTGAAAAATTTGTGTGGGAATTCAAATGTTATATAGAGGCTGAAAAACCTCCAACCCCCAACAAGTGTTCAATTGTGATGAAACAGGCCTGTTGTGGAAGAAAATGCCAAAGAGGACCTACATTATGCAGGAGGAAAAGGCACTCCCAGGACACAAGCCTATGAAAGACAGACTAACTCTCTTGTTGTGTGGTAATGCTAGTGATTTAAAATAAAGCCTTTACTGGTGTATCACTCCGAAAATCCCAGTGTTGTCAAGAGTAAATTGTGTGTGATGTGGAAGGCTAACAGTAGGGCATGGGTCACCAGGGAAATTTGCCTGGATTGATTCAATGAAGTGTTTGGCCCGAGTGTGAAGAAATACCTCCTGGATAATAAATTGCCACTCCAGTGCCTCCTGTTAATGGACAATGCTCCTTCTCATCCTCCAGGCTTGGAAGACCAATTATCTAAGGAATTCAGTTCCTTAGACAATTGGTGCATACCGTCCTGCCAAGTGAGTGTAAAACGAAAGCCTGTAATTGTTTTACATGATGGTAGGATTGCTGGTGTCTTTGGTTTGTCTCATAAATATGCAAGATTACAGGTATGTCTTGCTACTTCTACTTACACTTAGGTCACACTAAACATACATGTACACGTTTATTTACACACACTCATCCGAGTTTTCTTTGATTTTATCTCAGTTCTTGTTCTTATTACTTTTCCTTTTATATCCATGGGGAAGTGGAATAAGAATCTTTCCTCCATAAGCCATGCGTGTTGTAAAGGTCAACTAAAATGCCGAGAACAATGGGCTAGTAACCCCCTTTTCCTGAAAAGATTACTAAAAAAAAAAGAAGAAAAAAATTGCAAAGGGGAAGTCTAAAGTGCGGGATGTTGTGCAGATGAAAAGAAAGAGTGTTTGTGGGGTTATGAATGGAAGAAGGGAGTCCTGGTTTTAAGTGAAACAAAGCTGAAGGGGGTGGGAAGTTTCAGTGGAAGGAATAAATGGGTTTAGGTCGGGGGTTTAAAATAGAGTTAGAGTAAAGAAGGAGTAGCAATAATGTTGAAGGTAAGCTTGGGGGAAAAAGGGGGGACTAAATGAAATTAATTAAGGGATTTGGGATAAAAAAAAGATTGGATTAAAAAGGGGTTAAAATAGTTTTTGCCCCTGGAAAAGAGAAAAGTGTAGAGGAAAGAGAGAGATTTTGGGAAATGTTGATAATGCGTGGGGATTTTTGAATCAATGTGAGGAAATGGGGTTGGGTTTTTAAATCAAAGGGGGGTAAAAATTTTTGGGGTTGGTAGGTAAAATTTGGGGTGCCAGGGAATGTAATGGGGACCCTTTTAATTGGTATGGTAGAAAAAAATTTGGTAATAAGTAATCATATTTTATGAAAAGGGGATAAATAAATATAAAGGTATGATTAGCCGTAATGAAAGTATTTATTGTTTGTTTGGTGGAAAAAAGGTTATGGAGGCCCCAGGATGTACATGTTTATAGAGGGGAAACTGATATATCGGTTTTAAAATTTAGTTGTAGCACGTTAGAGTAAGAGGAGATGGGAAAAGGGGAAAGGGTGGAAACAAAAGAAAAGGGGGGGTGAAAGTGTATAAACTAAGGGAGGAGGAAGTTGGGTGAGATAAAAGCGATTTTTTGGCAAAAAGGTGGCTAGTGCAAAGAGAGTATGGGGGGGTTAAAGAGGGGGGAAATAGTTTTAAAAATGCAGTATAAAAGGGGGCAGAAGTTTGTGGTTATAGGAGGGGGGGGGAGGAGGAAAGAGGAGTGTTTGGTGGAATGAATAAAGGGTGTGTAAAAGAGAAAAAGGTAGCTTTGGAGGTTTTTACAAAGCAGAAGTGTTATAAGAAGACGGTATATGGAGAGTAAAAGAAAGGTAAAGAGAGTGGTGAGAGGTGCAAAAGGGAGCAGTGATAGAGGGGGAAAGGCACGTCAAGAATTTTAATGAAAAAAAAAAAAAATTTTGGAGTGATTTAAAAATTTAAAGAACCCCTAGGGAAAATATGGATTTGTCATTAAAAAAACAAGTGGGGGGAGTTAGTAATGGGAGATGGAGGTATTGGGTAGAGGCGGAATATTTTGAGGAATTTTTAAAATTTTAAGGAAAAAAAACAGGGGCAGAATTTCATCAGGTCGGGGGTATCCCATCTTTTAGGAGTGAAGAAGAGCAGAATGTAATGGGGGGGAGGTTGGGGGGCATTCGTAAAATGAAAGGGGGAAAGCAGCTGGAATGGGGATATGAAAAAATGTTAAAAGCGGGGGGGGGTATTGTTGGAGGGTTGGTACTTTTGTTTAATAAATGTAGAAAGGGGGGAAAGGTACTGGGTTTGGGGAGGCGTATAGTCCCTTTTAAAAAGGGGAAAAGGGGGAAAAAAGAGATGAAAAAATTATAGGGAAATAAGCTTATGAGTTACCAGGGAAAAGTGGGGTTTGAGTTAATTGAAAAATTAGAGGAAAGACGAATGTAGGTTTGCGGAGAAAAGGGGGTTTTAGAGTGGGTAGGGGATGTGTGATCAGGTTTTTTCATTGAGCATAATGTGAACGTATTTGATAAAGTAGGGAAGTTTTTATTGCATTTTGGATTTAGAAAAGGATATGATAGGTGGATAGAGGAGCAATGTGGCAGATTTGCAAGAAATGGGGAAAGGTGGTAAGTTTTTAAAAAAGCTGTAAAAGTTTTTTTTTGGGATAGTGGGCTCAGGTTAGGGGTGTAGAAGGGGAGATACTTCCCCGGGAAAATAGGTCTTAGACAGGGATGGTAATGTCACCATGGTTGTTTAAAATATTTTAGATGGGGTTGTAAAAGGGAAAAAAGCTAGGGGGTTTTCGGGAGAGGGGGGGATTAAATTTTTGGGGGAAACAAATTTAAATGGGGGAATTGACACAGTTTCTTTTTGTGATGATACTGTGCTTATGGGGGATTCAAAGAAAAAAATTTCAAAGGTTAGTGGATGATTTGGGGAAAGTGTGTAAAGGTAGAAAGTTTAAAGTGAAATAGAAAAAAGAAGGTGATGAGGGTGTCAAATGTTTAGAAAAAAAAATTGGGAAACAAATTTGGGGGGGAGGAGTATGGAAAAGTGAATGTTTTCAATACTTGGGAGTTGACGTGTCGGCGGATGGATTTATAAGGATGGGTTAAAAATTTGAATTTTATGGGGAAAAAAGGTGAGTGGTGCATTTGGGGATATTGGATAAAAACGTTATTAAAGGGGGCAAAAAGGGAATGTATGAAATTATAGTGTACCCCAAAATTTTTATGGGTGTAAAATTTGGGTGGTAAAAGCGCAGCGAGGGGGGGAAAGGTTGGAGG